CGTTTGTATCTGCCAGGAATATAATCTACTTTAGATTTACAAGAATGCTTCATGCAGTTTTTTTTCAATTTTAGAATGAGATGTTCCAACCTCCATGCAATGACAAAAATGGTTTATAAAACATTAATTAATCATTAATAGTCTATGATTGAGCTACAATTCAATTAAATAAGTAATTAATATGAATCACGTAATTAAACTAATTATAAGTACTATTTATAAGTAGTTCTCCTAATATATTATAAGCAGATCTAACAGCTAAATTCATGTAATGATTAATTAATATAGAAAACTTTTTAGGTCCCAAATTGTCTGAATATAAATAAAATATCTAAAGCACTAAGAATAGAAGATGCCATTAATATCCTTCGTGTTATGCTTTTGATGATTACTACATATATTGTAATGAACATGAGAGTGGGTGGGACGGGGTAGGCGGATAATGGAGAAGGACTGATAAATTTTAATAGAAGTTTATGCATATGATATTTTAGATGAAATTTTTACGTTAAAGAGGAAAGTAAAGAACTTTATAATACAAAATAGTAAAATACAAGTTCATATGATACATATATTTTTTACTCGATGATAACTTCGTAGTAGCTTGAGGAACAAATCATAAGGTATGTTGGGACAAAGCTAAGGATACATTTACCATGAATGAACTTGGATCATGACATATAACAAATTAAATCTTTATCGCATAATATTAGATCATATAAATGAAAATTACTCGAATTTGACATTATAATTAATGAAACAATTTGAAAAAACATTAATTTACCACACAGTATGTGTTGCAAAATTAGAAATGTTATTTTCTTGGAGAAAGTTTATTAGAACATGTTTAACTCCATAAGTTTTTTTTAAAAAAAACTAATACATATTATGACAATATTTAAGATTATAAGTTTCAAAAATCATTATATTTTTTTTCAAATTTCATGCCTTAAACTACATAACATAACTTGAAATAGAAGGAGTAAATGATACTCTCGTAACAAAGTTCGACCAATTTTTACCAACGTCATTACGCTCTCAAGTCACTTGTTTGGGGTACATGTTATCTTTCTGAGATAATCACCAAATATTTTTACTTTTGCTATAATCATTTGAACGTTTAACTTCGTAATTTTCTAACACGCCATATTTATGACCATTGGACCACACCCTCGGACGCTTCGTAAATCACATGATCCTATCCACCGTCCAGCATATCCATTGGCATGGATCCCATACTCTCTGAAACTCTGGCTTGCTTATCTTATATCACATGTAGTGAAAAGTACGGCTTATAGCTCTTAGACACACACAGAGACACTGTCTTTGTGCAGAGGCACCTTTTAACATTTTTCTTTCATATGTGCTGTTAACTACCGATAAATTTATTCGTATTTGATGTTTATAACAAAATAAAAATATAAGATATGTGAATGGAAAGAATTTCACTAATTCTTCTTTCATATGTGCTGTTAACTTTCATATGTGCTGTTAACTTATATATATCACATGTATGAAAAGAGTGAATCGAACCGAAAAGCATTTTCATGGTCCTTTTCTTATACCATTAAATTGTCAATCAATTTTGTTTAGGTTTCATAAGTTAATATACATATATATTTATTTTATTTTCTAAGACAAAAACATGGTTTACGAAAGAGTTACTAGGTTCGTCTGAACTCATGAACCCCACCTAGCTCCGCCTCCGACTTTACGGGCGTGAGTTAGATCTAAAACCTAATTTGACATGATATCAAAGTGATCATCAGCCTCATCTGATGTGTGCTATCCCAATCCTAGACCAACGGAGAGGGGGGCGGTGATAATACTCTTGATCCATGAATATACATGCATGAATATACATGCATAATACTCTTGATCCATGAATATACATGCATCGGACTGACAATAGAACCCCAAATAATAGAATGTACGGATTTGGAAGTAAGGAGGGTGATGATGAATAAAAACAAATCTCACATCGGTAAGAGATGAGATCTGTGGACTAGTCCTGCTTGGGGAAATCCTATTCAAACCCGATACTTCTGATCGAGAATTGTTATACTAGAAAGAACAAAGACCATGTGGATTTCCATCTTAATAATAATAATAATATGAAATAATGTACGTCATGCGTTACGTAGCCCACTTGACACAATTTAAAGACACATTAAGGAAATGAGGCAAGATTAAGAACCGCTAATTTCAGTTTACCTTTTTAAATAAGTTAGTAATTAGTTGTTAAGAGTATATAGTACCTTCACCACACGCTGTCATTACAAATCTGCTTAATTAATTAGCAAATGGGGTCTTCTTCTTTTGATTGATATTAAAAAATGATTTAACTTATATGTTTTTTGGTTCTCTTTTATGTAATATAAAATTGATAAGCTATAGACAATTTCTCACTTATTATAATTATTTCTTTGACTTACTAATAAAAAAGAATCTGAAAGGCTCCCTCCAAATTCAAAGGAAAAATTATAACTTCCTTTTTTTATTAGTCGAGTCGAGGGTCTATAAAAAGAGACTATCTACCTCTACAAAATAATTAGAATAAGGTTGATTATATTCTATGTTTTTCAGATTTCACTTATAAAATTATATTAGTATATTATTATTGTAGCTCATTTTTTTGTTTTTTTTGCTGGCAAATCACGCGATTAAATAAATGAAAGTGTGATTTCTGTAATAATTTGATTATAATTTTTTATGTGACAAATCATACAATTCAACATAGTAGGCAAATCACTATGTTCGAGTCTCACAAGCCACTATAATTGTCAAAAAAATTGTGTGTTTGACTCTTAAAAGAGAAAAAAAAAACATAAATTTAAGAGGCGTACGTATTTAACACAATTAAACAAATAAAAATATGATATATCCTTCTAATAATTTTATGAGTATTTAGATGAGATGATTATGCATTTCATCAACAGTACCAATATTTTTCAAAACTTACAGTATAGCAATTAAGTTTGACCTCTTCTAAGGTTGCACTTTACAGCAAGGTTATTTGTCTATGCATATAAGTTATAACACAAGTTGCAATTTTAGAATATTATATTTGGCCTATCAATATTATGCTTAGGTCGTGATGAACAAAAAAACATATAAAATAACATTTAAAGACATGTGTATATTTTTTATATTGTCACCTCAAAAATAACTATAGGTAATCATCCATAATAAGTGAAACTAATTAATTATTTGAAAATTAAATAAAAAATAATAACATACTTAGTATGATTTTATAAATGAAATTTGAAGAAGCCGATATATAGGTACTAGGTAGAGATTTGTAATCCGTTGATCCTAGGTTTAAGTAATGCTTATTAAAAATAAATACGGAAGAAATACAACAATAAATAAGTCATTTTGAAAATAATGAGGAAGAAAATCAATAGTAAGTAACAAATAATTATAATTTGATAATAGAAGTAAATAAAACAACATATCATATCTCTTTCTGGTATCTTCATTTCTTTTAATATAAAAAAATTAAATAATAATAAAATTAGAGAAATAAGATAGCAGAAGAGCAATTATACAAATAATATTGATAAGAAAATTAGATAGCGCTCGATTTTCTATCAATCAGGTTGAACTGTAATTCTCGATCTTTATATTCTCTTATCTAAAATCATATCCTCGATAAGTTGTCGATAATATCATGTGATTGACGTGGACTAAATCTTGAATGCATTAAAGTACAGCCAAAGTAATTAATGTTTAAAACTCATCAAAAAAGGTGGAACAAAAAAAAAGTTGTTGAAGAGTATATATGTGTATGTTTTATGAGGCAAAATCATGTTAACATATGCCTCATTTTAAAAAAAATAAATTGATATATAACTATGCTATTTCAAGTTTCATAGTATGTACTAAAAAAGATATGAGATGTTTGGAAATAATCGAATTAATTGAATAGGAGGACTATTACAAATAATAAGAATATGAATAGAGTTTCATTTAAAAAAAAAGAGTTGTAAGATTTGTAAAACTAAAGAAAATAGCCCCTACTATTTTTTGCATTAATTGAGTCTTAAATAAAGCTTTCAACTCACATCGTTTTCATAAAGGACAAGTTTAAAAAGAATTACGAAAAACATTTTTTCACTATCTATTTAGTTCAAATAATTTTAACCTTCTTTTATTATTATATTGAAGTCATGAGCTACCCCATAAAATTAATAATTTAAAGCTATGACATTTAATAACCACTTTTCAATCTTGTTTCTATAAAATAACTTTATTATAAGGTTTCACATTCTATAAATGAACTTTATTACAATTGTTATTTTCTAATACAAATGAAATTTGGCAACTTAATCCCCTAAAGTAAATGATGACAAGAAACCTACTTACAATAACAATACATATTAAAATATTATTTTAATATATGTATATAATTATTTTAAAAAATTTTTATGTTAAAATTAAAACTAGACGAACAAACTAAACATCGGAGTCTTTAAAACAGTACACAAAACAACAAAATTGTCCTTCTTACTTCTCCCCCCTCACAACCACACCCCCCTCGCTCCCCCAAATGTGCTCATAGGCAGACCTACCCTATAGATCGGACGGAATGTGCATCCGTTAATTTCAAAAAAATATATATATATTATATATCGGCGGACCCCTTTCTATAGATCGGGCTACACGTGTGTTCATTAATTTCAAATAAAGAATTATATTTGAGAAACTGACAGAAATTAGAATATAATTAATAGTGCAAGCACAAAAGTGTCATCGTAATATTGGTACAAGCTAAAAGAATCACTCACGAAACTTAAGTTCAAGTCTAACTAAAGCATTATTTTTAGTTTGATGCACCCGAAGTCTTTAAATCCTAATTTCAGTTTTGAATGTGCTTACTCACTCTTTTCCTACATTAACCCCCCAACCCCAACCCCCACGCCAACAGTACCTAAACGTGTCATCCCCTGCTTTTATAAATCAGCACACTTGCTGCACTCTTACAATGACACTCTCAACTTCTCAAAAATTCTTCAAAATCCCTCTCATTTTTTAATCCCTTTTTTAGCATTTTGATTCATTTTTTAAAGAAAATTCTGTGTGTGTTTCTTGCATGGCAGCTCATCTTTTAGCTCATGAGGTAGCTGACCTATGCCTTGGGAAGCCACCTCTTAGGTCTCTTTCTGTTTCTGCAACAATTGGTGAAGCTTTAGCTTCTCTCAAATCTTGTGAAGAAAATTGTATAAGTGTTTGGGATTGTGACCATTTCAAGAATGTTGATTGCATCTGTGTTGGGAAAATTTGTATGGTTGATATAATATGTTTTCTTTGTAAAAAAGAGAATGTGAATTCTCCATCTTTGGCTCTCAAATCACCTGTCACTGCTTTGTTACCTCAAGATTCTGTTCTTGTTAGGCATGTTCAACCATCTACAAGGTATAAAGATTGAATCTTTTTGTCTTGTTGTGTAATGGGGTTCTTTCATTGTGTCAAATTATTGAGTTTTCTTATGTGGGGTTCTTTCAATTGATCTTGTTTAGCTCTTAGTTTTGTTTTTTGTGTTGAGTTTCTCCATCTACAAGGTAAAAAGATTGAGTCTTTTTTGTGTTGTAGCGTAATGAGGTTCTTTCATTGTGTCAAATTCTTGAAGTTTGCTTAGTTTTTTTATGTGGGGTTCTTTCAATTGATCTTGTTTTGCTCTTAGCTTCATTTTTTGTTGAGTTTCTCCATCTACAAGGTAAAAAAATGAGTCTTTTTACATTTTTGTGCAATGTTTGTTAATGGTTTATGTGGGGTTTTTCCATTGTGTCAAAATCTTGAATTTTGCTTAGTTTCCTTATATGGGGTTCTTTCAATTGATCTTGTTTGGATTTTAGCTTCATTTGTTCTCTTGAATTTCTCCCTCTACAAGGTGAAAAGATTGAGTCTTTTTATCTTCTATTGATTTGTAGAATGGTAGATTGTTGTTATCTTCATGAAAGGTATTATCTTTTGGAGATGAGTGCAATGTTTGTTAATAGGAATTGTCTTCCATTGTATCAAATTCTTGAATTTTTCTTATGTGGGGTTCTTTCAATTCTTGAAGATTTTGGATGTAGAGGATTCAAAGATCTAAACTTTTAGAATTGAGCATCAAAATTTCCCCTTTTTATTGTGTTGTTATCTTCATAAAGGTTAAATCTTTGGAGATTTAGTGCAATGTTTGTTAATGGAAGTGTCAATTCTTGAATTTCCTATGTTGAGTTCTTTATATTGTTATTGTTTGGCTCTTAGCTTCATTTACTCTCTTGAATTTCTCCACCTCAGATATCAATTTGAAGAGTCTGAGTGTTGAGGAATCAAAGATCCAAGAATTTGTAAGTAATAGAAGTGTCTCTCATTGTGTCTATTTCTTGATTTTCTTTGTTTTTCTTATGTGGGGTTCTTTTTATTGTTCTTGTTTGACTATATATAACCTTCATTCACACTCTTGATTTCTAGAAGAATTTGTACTTTTGTAGAATTCTTGATAGATTGTTGATTATAGAGAGATTTGCTTTCAAAATTGATAAATACCACATTTCTTAATTTGGTTTTGTAGTATCCTAATTATGTATTTGTTTTTCTCCTTTTGTAGCTTACTAGAAGCTATTGATCTCATCCTACAAGGAGCTCAAAACCTTGTGGTTCCTATAGAGACTAGATTTAGTGGTAGCTCAAGAAGGAAATTGCTGCAGAAATCTTCATCAACAAGGGGTTGTACTCTCCACAATGGCCGCAAATTCTGTTGGCTAACTCAAGAAGATGTTATTAGATATTTCCTTAGCTCAATTGGTTTATTTTCACCCCTTCCAACAGCTTCAATCGACGCCCTTGGTATCATTAGCACGGAGTTTTTATCCATCGGGTATCACTCGAGTGCATCATTGGCTACTGAGGCCATTTCTCGATCCCTCGTGGATCAGACATCCGTGGCAATTGTAGATGAGGATGGTGCCTTGATAGGGGAGATCTCTCCTTTCACTCTCGCTTGTTGTGGTGAGACTGTGGCTGCAGCCATCACGACCCTCACAGCCGGTGAACTCCTGGCCTACATTGATTGTGGAGGGCCACCGGAGGATATTGTGAGGGTCGTGAAGGAGAGATTGAAGGAAAGGAATCTTGAAGGAATGTTGGAGGAATTCGAGATTGATCCCTCGGATATCTCGTCTAACTCATCGTTGTCCGATGAGGAATTGCCTTCCCCTACCTCCTCGAGGTCATCAGGGGGAAGGTACAATAAGTCTAGTAGCTATTCCGCGAGGATGGTTAGGAGGGCAGAGGCGATAGTGTGTTATCCGGGAAGCTCTCTCGTGGCCGTGATGGTTCAAGCGATCGCGCATCGCGTAAACTATGTGTGGGTGATTGAAGAGGATTGTAGTGTTGTGGGGATTGTGACATTTGCTAACATGTTAGAAGTTTTTAGAGATCAATTGGAGTCAATGATGTTGGGACATTTTGATTAATAGTTCTTCATAAATCTTTTATGATGAGGCAAGTATGATCTTGTGAATATGAGAATGTACTTCTCTTTTTCTTTTTTTTTTGGCCACTTGTTTTTTAACTTTGTGTTCATTGTAACTTTGTAAAATTTTGGTACTTTTTTGTTTGATTTCACTATTTTTGTATCAATATTCTGTTTTAGGAATATAAAAGTATTGTTTTTTTGAGTTTTGTGTTCATTGTAACTTTGTGAAATTGGTACTTTTTGAGTTTGGGAATATAAAATACTATTGCTTTTTTTTTTTTTGTAGTACTATGTATTAGGTGTATAAAGAGCAAGAAATTTGGACATGTAGCAATAAATATAGGAACCCTACATCAGCATATCTTTGGGGGTTGGGGGTGGGTGGGTCATCATCTTAATGTCTCTGTCTGTCTGTTATTAGGACAAAGAGATACTTCCTTTGATTTGTTTGTTCCGTTTGATTTTACACGGAGGTTGAGAAAATAAAAATAAAATAAAATTTGTAGTTTTAAATTAAAAAAATTAGTATAATGTAATAAAATATCTTTTAATTTTGTGATTTTAAGGTTTGAAACATGTCACGAGAAAGTTGAAATTAAATAGTTATCAAAAAGAAAGATTTTTTTAGTGAACTTAAAAAAGTGGATAAGACAATCAAATTAAAACGAAGGGAAGGGAGTTCATAATTATTTGATATTCGAAATTTAGTATTTACGTACCCTCAATCGGGATTTCTTATTGAAGAATTAACTTAAATAATTGTTTGCCTATCATTTAAATTAAAAAATACTCTACGAATATATATATATATATATAAAAAAAAAACAAAGAATTCGACTAACTATTTATTTATAAAGATCCTTTCCTTATTTTCAAATCTCGAACTTGAAATTTTTAACTAAAATTTTAATTAAGAGTGAAGTGATTTCATCGTTCATCCCACCAAATCCTTTGATAATGGACAAGTAAGAATTAATAAACAATAAGTTAAACACATCTATAGGAGGTTAATCAATTATTAAGTGCAAGTAGGAATTTCTTAATTGAGCATTTTTCTACATTGATAGGGAAATATTTACTTTATTCAATTCTTGAAAAGTGATCTAAAAAGTGAAAAGTGCATGAATATTTTGTTATCTTTCAATATCATTAACATCATTTTCACTTAATTGGTATACATTAAGAAAGAAAGCAACTTTATTAATTAATCTTGAGATTGTCTCTTCAAAAATTCTCTGTCTCTTCAAAAATTCTATGGACTTCCAATTCTATAGATAATTATGAGGTGATAAATTTGTACCTATTTAATTATTTATGTGCCGATGTTGCAAAATATTTAAGTCAGGCTTAACAACATAGTCAATCTTTTAAATTTATTTGCATATATTATTTAATTATTCGAATTAAGTTATGTTTCAATTGAACACGTCAATTTCGAATATAGGATTCTAATCTATACTCGTATTTTCATTCATTTATCATATAGTTAAGCTAATCTCATAAAATCTGTCTTCTCCTTTAATTATACGGATCAATCTCAAATAGAAAATGTTTAGGCGGACGCATTTAATTAAATGAAATGATATATTTTAAGTGGTTTAAAGATAAGATTTGATATATTGGCACTTTTTGCCCTTTTTTGAAAGCTTTGGTGTATATGGACCACAGATCCAACGCATCATTGTTTGTAATTTATTAGAAGTATACTTTTCTATTTTAAATATTAGTCCTTTTATATAAACATTTTATCTCAAAATATTTTATCTTTTAGAAGAAAAAAAAGTACAAGTGTACTGTTAAACATAACGTGGAATTACACCACAATGTTACCAAACAAAAACTAACATCAAATCAAAATCATAATTAGTTAGATCAAAGAATTAATTAAGAATCAAAAGTGTAATTTTGTTAATTTTAATTAGTCTTGAAGTGTTTCTCTTCTCAAAATAATTTATAATTTTGAAAATATAATAGGTTCAATGCAAAAATTCTTGCGATATGAACATATAATAAAATTTAAATCTTGAATCTATTTTTATTTATGAAAAGATAGAAGGTATGTTAAACGAATACTTTTATACTAAAGTTAGAATATATACATTATATTTTGTATAAATAAAATAAAATCTTCAAACAATAAATCAAATTAATTTTGGGCCCACTGATTATATTATGTGTCTTTAAGAAATATAATCCCCTTTTTATTTACTTAAAAAGGGATAATTAATATGTTACACTTTTCTCAGTTCCTCCTCACGCCTTACATGCTTAAAGCAATAAATAATTATGTCTTTGCTTTTTGTAAAGGCATATGATTAGCTCAACCTTAAACTATATTTATACTTTTCTCAAAAGTTGTGACACTTTTTAAATTAATAGTACAAACTTTATTATTAAAGATTAATTTTTAAATTTGTCTCAACTTATACAAAGGGGTGAAATTTTAATTCTCTTTAGGGGTTTGATAAGAGTATGTAGTGTTAGTCAAATAAATACTATTAATTTCAGAATTCATAAATTTAAAATTATAATTTGTCACTATCAATAGTTAAGAAATTAAATCTAAGAACCTTGAAATTGAATTTTCTTAAACCTATTATCTCCACTTATTCATAAAAATAAATATTTAAGTGATAAAGCCAAATCTATTAAACTTAAAATTTTCCCCAAAAACTAAAGAACAAGAAAAACCATGATAGCTTTCACTTAGGGCCAAATAAGGGTGAAGGGGTTCAAATCGAAAAATTATATTATATAAATATATTAATTTTTTTTAATTTTATATTTATTCTCTCTTAATAAAAATTCTTTACTCCCTATTTGCTTTCACCCAGTTGGTACATGACTAGCCCACTAATTTATTAATTATCAGTGGCTGTTACTGAAACTTGGATTAGGGATTAGTGTCTTGCTTTGTATAATAATTAATTAGGTCAATTATATTATAATAATATATAAGAAGCAAATCAATAATATGGTTTAATTAAAGCAAGATTTGACATTCTGTCTTATTGAAACTTTTCAGAGAGATGCACATAAAGATGAATAATTAATAAATGAACTTCCAATAAAATTGGCTTCCCTTTGGATATGCAATATAAAATTATAATCTCGAATTAGATTGCTTTGAAACTAAAATTTTGTTTAAAGATGTAATTTAAATATTTTAAGTTAGTTTTGTCACGAACATGAAAATTAATTCCATGTGAAAACTATTAAAAAAAATCGAATTTCTTATACAATCTTACCAATTGACCAAATCATAATTCATAAACAAGATATTGAATATCATAAGGCATCGTATAGATAGATATCATATATCTATGTTCATTTTATAAATAAGTGTTTACGATTAGAAACTTCTAAATACACATAATTTTATAAAGATCAGCTATTCAACACTAACAGTAATTAGTTATTCTTTAATATAATCCTTGTATATAATGCATACAGTCTCTTCACATTGAGCATGAGTTTCTTTTTTACAAAATTTAAAATAATGAATCTTTTTTAAACAAAATATGAATTTATGGATCAAATTTTATACTTGTAAGAAATTAACATCATGATTTGAAATCTCCAATCATATTTCTTTTTTTTTTGAAAAATTTGAGATTAAAAATTATGATTTTGAATTACATATCCAAACATTTATTTGAAATCATAATTTTAGTTCATGACTTTATATTGCATATCCAAATACAAATTTAATCTCCTTCTTTGCCATGCTTTTTGAAAAAATATATATTTTCCCTATGATTATCTGTATGTATAAGACTTTAGTGGTAGGTAATATTTTGACTTTGGTAGATGTTTTAAGAGATTTGCAAAAAACAATGTGGTGCAATAATAATTACTTAATTCTAAATTACAAGTTTTAAATTTAAGCTTGAAATATAAAATCGTCTTTAATAAAATATGTTTTATATTATAAAATAAGATTTTAATTAATTCGACTTCAAAATAAATATCGAATTAAAAACAATCACAAAAATATTTAAGGATACTACTAAAAGTTATGTTTCTTGGCCCTAAAAACTTCAAAAAAGTGATGTTGATCATGTAGAGATAATGTATCGTTTATTTGGTCATTATTAATGGATTCAGTGTGAGCTCAAACATAATCAATGTCATATTTTGAAAAATTCATCTATTAATACACACAAAAAATTGAGATAATTCTGACTTTCCGTTTCATGACCTTGAAACTCACAAAAGGTGATGTCAATCTTGTCTAAGCAATGAATATCGATCATTTGACGTTATGAATGAACCCACAAAATTTGAAGTGAAACGAAATCAGTCAGCTATATTTCATAAAATTCACCTCAGTGCTCTTCCATTCTGAATATAAAGTCACTTTTGATGTAAAAAATATATTTTATCCTCCAAAATAAAATTTTCAAATATAAATTAAAATTAGTCAAACTCTAAAACAAATCTCGAAAAATAAGGAAAAACAAAAAAAAGTGTTTAAGAGATTAGTTAAGATTTGACTATCTATTAATTTACATTTTAGCAGTCTTCAAATGAGGTAATCTCTCTAGGGATTTGTGCATATGGGTAAGCACTGAGTTGTTGGTACCAGGAGATCATTTGTGATATGATTGTGATTCTGAAATAAGTAACTTTTGGATTAAAATTGTGTACATTATTTTTCTTCACGTGAGTTTTTAATATTATGGATCTTATCATAATTTTCTTTACGTGAATTTTCAATATTATGAATCTAATCATAATTTGGGCTTTCAAATACATATATATGGCACATGTATATCGAATACACTGTATTTAAGTGAATTCACATGTATTTGACTTTCTTGCTCGTCTCTATTCCTATGTATTAGTATTTCAGAGTATATCTGATATCTCAAATGCATGTATCTAGTGTGATTCGCATGTATCTGGAATATATAGACTTTATTGCTCGCCCCCCTCCTTTTCTCACTCACCTCTCTCCCTACTTCAGTGTAACTAGTGCAAAAATACATATATCTAAGAATATTTGACTTAAAACTAATATAAACTTATTAATTAATAAGACAATATATAATTATTTCAAACTTCATATACAAATAGGTACTTACTG